GTGATGCACTGTGACAAATCACTGGGAGAAAGGGGGATGTTGCTCTATTACTGGATTATTTTTTTTCAATTTGAAATGTTTAAGAAGAATTTCTCATTTGGGGAAATTTTGGCCGTACTTTGCTACAGCATTAGACTTCTCTGTTGGGTCTCTTCTGCTAGAAATGCTTAGATTTATTTTTGTTTGTGTTCTGTCTTACACAGCTAAGAAAACAGTTTCAAATAGGACAAATTGTCTTGTTCCAGGGAGGAGGTCTGATCTGGAGAGCGAAAACAGCTTGCTTCTTGGAGAGCCGTCCACAAAAGAACAAAGCTCTAAGGACAGTTCCCTACCCTGTGCCCCACAAAAGATGTTACAGAGCCAAGATGCTGACCTTAGAAAGCATTACTGTGTGGGACAGTCTCCTTGCTAAGTGGCTTTTTTCCTAGGTTTTTTTTGTGCCCCAGTGCCTGGTCCTCTTTGTGCTGGTCCTTTGGCTGCGATGGGCAGGTAAGCAAGTCCTTGGAGTATTCCCTTCTCCTGCTTTAAGGAAAGGGAAATCATGTTAGTTCAATTCACAGGGATGCTGGTACACTTTTCTGTTAGTCTTCAATAGCTGATGCTGTAGGAGAAGGGTTTGAATCTATTTTTGTCAGGTGTGTGTCTCCCCTACCTTTGAGTTTTGCAGGTCCCTGGCAACATGAATGGAAGAAATGCTCATGAAAGAGCCAATGTTCCTGTGCAGCATTCATGGAAAATCAGTCCTGGATGCACAGAAATGTGAGTTTCTTGTGGTAGTTGGATGGAGAGTTACACTTGGATGCTTAGATAAGTGAGATGACATCATATGATCTGTGCATCTTGTGAAAATGAATCAGCGCTACTATTATTAAAACATCTTCACTTGTAATGGTTGCTTTGGCAGACTGGTCATAATGAAGAATTTTAAACTCGGTGTAGGATATAAATCCTGGTAGGAAGGAGCTCTAAAAGTAACAGGAATTTTCCTGCTTGAAAACCAGCCTCAGTTTAGTCCAATTTCTAGCCAAAGTGTGGATTCAACACTCTTAGGTTCTCAATTAGAAGGCCATCATCACATCATCAAGAGGTCCAGACTCACCACATCATCAGCCTGTTTTCCAGAAAAAAAAAAAATCACTCTTGTCCAAAGGACAACTGGAAATGCCTAAATGGGATGATAAAAGCGGTGAGTGCAACCTGAGCCAAGAACCATTTTGATGTCAATGCTTAAAAAAAATATTTTCATTAATAAATAAATATTAGGAAGTGGCAGTCTTCTGACAGACATCTCACAAGACTAAATTAGTGAAACTCTGTAGAAAGAGGAGCCGATGGAAATTACCCTTACATTTACACATAAGGCAATCATCCTGGATTTATTACTACATCTCGCGCTGCAAGCCTGAGTCTGATTTATTAACTACTCTCCCTTTCGGTTTCTTGTCCAGGGTGGTAAACCAGCTGTAGAAAGCTGAAAAGAAGTTGAGCTGCCTGTCTTGTCTTTTCATCCTGTTCCTTGTGTTCATTTTGGTCTATAAACAAATATCTCTCAGGTCTCCTAAATAGATTTTCTGATCAAGTTCCCAGAACAGACCACCACCAGTCTCATTAAAGCTTATTTATGCTACTTTCATGCATGAATAAAAAAGATCCCATTCACTGCTGATGTTATTTAGTTAGATCCTGTGCCTTGTGTTGGATGTTGAATTGGAGTGACATTTTTGGCACTAAAAAAAATAAAATAGCGGGACGGCGGAAAACAGTTTGGTGCTTGCATGTATGTAAAGGAAGGGGTTAACCTGTTCTTGGCTGTATCGTATTGATTGAAGCCCACGCAAAGAAAATACAGCTGTAAATAGTTAGGAATATTCCCTAGTAGTTGGGATTTTTTGGGGGGGTAAATCATTGAACTGGGACTCTGGAGGTATGAGCTGATTCCCAGGGATGCCACTGGCTTCCTGCGGGATAGGAGGAGGAAGGTCATGAGTTGCTCCAGGTCTCAGCTCCCCAGCTGAGAACTATGTTTTCTCCCTCCTCTGCTTTTTTCCAACTTGCTTGTTTATATCGCTGGCTTCCCAGCAGAGTAACCTCTACTCTGCCTGCGTGCCAATTGCAACGGGTCCTGCTCTCAGCTGGGGCCTCTAGACACCACAACAAATAGCAAATATGATCTTCCCTTTATGCTTGCCTCCTTCATCTGCATTCACGCTGCAGTGCCTCTGAGGTAAGATTAACAGCTAAAAATAATAATTAATAATAATACTAAAAGAAAACAGTAAAGGTGCAGAACAAGGAGGTAAAGATCTAGCAGGTGTGCAAAGTTGTGAAATCGGTTTGTTTTTCTCCTGTTCTGCTGGCTGATGATCTCATGCAAAGGTACCGTATTTCTGAACAAGGATTTGAGCCTGTCCTTTAAGTCAAAAGGGTGAACAAAAAGCAGCTTTGTGTGTTTCCTTTGTGCTAAGCACATTGTGAATATTCTTAAGCATTGCCACAAGGATTAACATCTCTGCATTTTAATGTGCCTGGTGCTGGAATGTAGCTGGAGAGCGGAGTGGACAGGAATGGTCTCTCCAGGCGGTGGGCTCTGCTTAGGTGTCCCTTTGAACTGCTAATTCAATAGATTTCGGTTACTCTTTCTTTTTTTCTCCTCTTTTTTTTCCACTCTTCTTCAACAGCTTCTAGAACAAATCCTGAAAGATTTCACATTTCTGAAATTTACTGGGCTGGACTGTTTTATCTCCAAGTTCTTTTGCATGGCAGTAGTATATATAAATAATTTTAAAAAAAAGGCATGTGGACAGAAGTATGGAGTTTGGTATTTACTTTGGATCATTAACCTGGTCTGTAAATTTGATTTGATCTCTCCTTTTTTAGTTCCTCCCGCCTTTCTGTAATTTCAGAGTCTGTGAAGGGACGCTGTTGTTTGCTGCTTTGGGATCCCAGCAAGAAATGGGAGTCTGATGGACTGTAAATGCACCTGCTCTGTTTAGAACCCAGCCAAACAGATAAGTGCCCTTTTAATTATCTCGCAATAGCATTTTAGACATAATCGTGCACAAAACATCTTTCTTCAGTTCGGTTTCAATTTGCTGAGCCCTCTGTGGGCAAATGAATGCTCTGTGGTTCCCTTTTCAGCTGAGATATCCCAAATGATGTTGGTATTTCCTGTGAGCTAATTAATTAATGTTCAAGGGAATTGCAGCTGATGACTTGGGAAGGTCTTGGGGGTCTTCCCTGCCTCTCTAGAGCCACCATCTCCAGCAGCTCTGTCAGGTTTTGAGACTCTGAGGAGTGGCTCCATGGGATCAGATGAGGCTGATGTGACCCATCTGAGCTTGAGGAGTCCTCTGGGACTCATTAGGGGTTTAATAACTAAACTTGGCTGGTTTGATTGAGAAGATGCCTGTGCAGGCTTGGCATGGTCTCAGAGAATGCTGCTGGCAGGAGAGAGGGCTTTCTGCATGGGCTGTTCTGATGTGTGCAGAGAAAGGGATAACCCCCGCTTCTTCCTGCCAGTTTCTGGCAGGGAAAATAGCTGGAGATGGGGGAGAGAAGCCTTTAGTTTATACAGGGCATCCAAAGAGGTATCGTGGGGAAGTGGTAACAAGAATAGTCCCCTCAAAGCTATGGGGACACTTATATTTATGGATGAAAAATGCAGATTATCAAGAAAGCCCCTGGCTGCTTAAATCTGCTTCTACAGATGACTACTGCCTTCTCTTGGACACACTTAAATTATTATTCATTTAATTTAAGATATCTATAAAACATGGACTAATGTACAGTATAACTTTGCAACAGTATGCAGCTGTGAGGCTGGGGCAAATATTCACCACACCTGCAATTTACAATGAATAAGAAATATTCAATAATTCAATATTCAATATTTAACTAAATCTGAGTATGTGAGCATGGGAGGAGGATGTGTGGCAGGAGGAGAGACAGGAGCCAAATTACCCCAGACCTACCCTGCTCTACCAGGGTTAACCAGCATTGTAAAATGTCTACCTTTCTGGTAGGAAAACTACAGACAGGTTTGCTACAGCAAATTAGACTCTGTTAACTGATGTGAATTTGTCTTACCTACCTAAGCAGAAGGTGAGTTTCTTGGTGAAGGTACCAGCCTAGGGCTGAGACTGGAGAGACAAGACAGTGAAGTAGGAAGTTACTGCGGTGCGAGAGAACTGGGTTTAGATCAACTCGTGTGATCCCTGGAGTGCCTGAAGTCCCCTCTTTCCTAGGAAAATCTCCTGCTGTTGTCACTGAGAAAGTTTTTATGTTAACAGAAGAAATTACATGTCTGATATTAATGACTATGCTCTGTCTTAGTTGTGAACACTACTTATGTTTTACTCTCCAATACTCTGATAGCAAAAAGTCTTGACAGTATATTAAGAATCACTGATAAAATGAAGCCTTAGTGAGAAAATCAGGGTTTATTCATTCATGAAGGATAAATAAGAAGTTAAAAAAGCCAAAATCATCCATGTGCTCCAATTAACAGAGCTCTTTGCTCCTCAAAAAGAATCAAAACAACAACCTCAGAGATCCTCAAAGTCAGGTTTGCAACCTGAAATCTGATTTCTGCCAGCTTGCAATGTCCCCCAAATTATGTCTCATTAAATTAACCCTAAGCTGGCCAGTTCCAGTCTGGACATCAAAGCTGCATTTGGAAATCATATCCTGAAGAGTGGCATGCATCTTGTAATACTACTTGGCAGAAGAGGCAGAAAACACCACCAGTCCTTCTCTGGAGCTGTACTGATGTGAGAGGTGATGCTGAGTGTGTTACATGTGCCTGTGGTTTGGGTGGTGCATCCAGCACCTGAGGAGAACAGATTCAAATAATCTTGACAGGCTTCTGCAAAAAACCTTGTCCAGAAGAGATGACTTCCAGATCCTTAACTCTTTCCTTGTCTTACAGGTGAGCCTTGAGGACACTTTGGAGACCGTAGCTCCTGAATGCGTGAGCTTCTCCTGGAGTCAAAAGAAGAGCCATGGGGAAAGAGAAGAAAGAGGAGGAGGCTGTCTTTCTGCGGAAAAAGATAACTTTGCTGAGGGCTTTCTCCCTTCTCATCGGCAGCATGGTTGGCAGCGGCATCTTTATCTCCCCAAAAGGAGTGCTGAAAAACTCTGGCAGCGTGGGCTTCTCCTTGGTTGTCTGGTTTGCCTGTGGGATCCTCTCGATGTTTGGTGAGTGACAGTGATCTTTGCCAGCCTTTGCTTAAGCACCTGGGAGGTGAGGGGAACCAGCACATTTTTATGTACAAAAAGTTGGCAGCAGAATAGACCGAATTTTCCCTGTTTCTGCTGCAACAGAAACAAAGATTTAACAAGCCTGGGGGAGGAGGGCATCACCAGGGGCCTTTAGTTCAAATAATCCCCCCCTGGTGACTGAGAAAAATCCCAGCACTTATGGTTTGTGAATATGAAATGATGTGTGAGTCCAGGGCAAAGGAGTGGCAGTGACTGCAGATGGAGACAGCACAGCCTCTGCCAGGAAAGTTGGGAGAAAATGAGGGAATTTACTCTATAAGGTGGAAGAGAGACATAGGAATCTAAAAGGCCCTTGTGCGTATGAGGGCTACACAGTGCTTCTCATAGACACTGTGGAAAGGGCAAGAAGTGAGTCTTAGCATGCTGTAAAGGATCCACTTTCTGTGTGTGAGGATGGAGAAGAGCTAGAGCAGATTGCCTGGGGAGCTGCAGGGTACCCATCAGCCAGGGGTGGGAGGTGGGTGTCTGTCAGAAAGGGTTTGGATATGTCTCTTGCTGCCTTGGAGTGAGAAGATGGAGCAGGTATGTTCAGCCCTGCCCTCTGTGTGTTATCTGTGGCTCAGTTTCTGGCATTTGAAACCAGGCTTTTCTCACCAAAGGTTGACTTTTTGAAAAAAGTTTCATTCTGGTACTTTTGAAATAATGTAGGTCTTGGAGTTATGATGGGTATAACACATGCCTTTCAGTTTCCTTCATTAACTGCATAAAAGCACCATCTTACAAATGCTCTGAAGGTGCTGTTAGGAGAGCTGCAAGATCTCTCAGCTCTGGGGAGAAATCGGGTGTTTATTTCAGTGGGTGACTTTAAAGTTGTTCTGTCATAACATAGGAAAAAAACCCAAAACGAGAAAGGAGAAATACTCCGTGTGGAAAAAAAACCACCTGGGCACTGTGACATGTACATGCAAGTTTAGAAATAGGGACATTCAATTGTTAATATGGCAACAACTGTGATTCTTGCTCTTAGCACATGCATACCGGTATTACGCGTTGTTGCATATGCTGTTAAGTGCAGCTCTCCTTTACCTTCCATGTGGGACGCCGCCAGTGTGTGGTTGTTTGGCAACTGATACGCTTTTGCTTAAAGAAAATCTTAAAACATAATGTGAGCATGGTGTCTCTTTTAGCTGAGCAGAGCAACAAATGGTAACTCGTGTGCTGATCACGTAGCCCAGGCTTTGCACTTGGAAAGGTTTCTCTCTCTTCACTGCATCCTCTGACAGCCCCTTCTGGAAGGGTCTTGGGAGCTGCTTTAGCAAGTTACTGTATTTTGCAGCCAAATTTGTTGGTTTGTTCTTCCCTTTTATTGGCTTGATGACCTCCCCTGACACTTCTCTGACACCTTATTTGCAGTACATTAAAAAGGCCTGTTTCCTTTTATGCTTTTTTTCCTTTCACGTATGGCATTTTGGCATTTGTACGAGTCCCACAGCATGAGTTCAGCAAAGCACTTGCATGTACGCTTGAAGCTTGTAAAGAGACCCGCTAGAATAAATGAAAGGAGGTGTCTGCCTATATACAACACTTTGAACAGGGATTCTGCACAAATTTGCTAACAGAGCGGTGGAAAAATTGCAGTCCTCACCATCGGCATGGTCTGAATATGGCACAATCACCATAGGACTTGAAGGAATGGCTGTATCACCACTGGGTTCCTCTTCACCCTCTCTCCGTAGGCAGGTGAACTGGGCAAAGAGGTAGACAGCACAGCTAGAGATGGTCTTACCCTCCAGGTACACATCCCAACAGTCCTCAGCCCCATTGCAAAGACAGCTGTGCTCAAAGAAGTGAAGTGTTTAATGATTTATTTTGGTGAACAAAGGATGTTTAACCTGGCAAGTGAATCCAGTGTAGGCAGGGCTTAAGATTTGTACTCAGACATGTTCAAATGGCACAATGAATATATAGAAAACACAGATGGGATTTTCTTGGCACAGGCAGAGGCATAAAGGTTTCTATCCATTTGCCTGAAAGTTTTAAGCCGTCTTCTCCTATACACCTCTCCCAGAATTTCTCATTGTGCCCTGGTGTAGGGGCAGGGAGGCACAGAAGCATTTGTGAAGGCAGGAGCAGGTAATCCCCAGGTCTGTTGGTGCATTCATACTTGAACATTTGAGAAGAGACTGACCAGGCCTCTCACATAGACCTTTCCCTGACTCTGCACCACTGGGGCTGTGTTTTCCTCCAATGGCAGGTCTTTACTCCCAGAGGAGGTGCCCTTTCAGGTCCTCGGTCCAGTGTCTCCAAATTAAGGAAGGGATTTCTATGACGATGCAAGATAAGGATGCAGGAACGTGGCCTGTGATCAAAATCATGATTGAAATGACCAGTTCAGCCACAGCCCATTGGATGTGCTGCTGTAACTGTCTTGTAAGCACCATTTCACCAGTCTAAGCGTGAGAAGAAGCAAGAACCCAAACCTCCAGTATGGTTTTTTTCAAAGAAAATCTCTTGTAGCTTAGTGCAACATTTCTGTCATGCACCTTTCTTCATAACTTCAATGGAAAAGTTGTATCATTAACCAGAAAATGGAGAACTTCTTTCCTTCTGACAGAAAAGTCAGTTACTTCAAAACTTACTTCAGAAAACTCTAGCACACAAAAACAGGGAAAAATGGTTTTGCTAAACCCATTTTCTTCCTCTAATTCACTTCTTGTTTTAAACAATAAATCCCTGAAAAGTCACGCAGAAAAGAGAAAATCTATGGGGTGATTTACTCTGCATTTCTACCTCAACTTTTCTAGGTGCCTTGTGTTATGCAGAGCTTGGCACAAGAATCACCAAGTCTGGAGGACATTACATCTATATTTTGGAGACACTAGGGCCTCTGCCAAGTTTCTTATTCCTGTGGGCAGAGTTTTTTGCTATCAGGTAAGAGATTTTTTTTGTTTGCCTTTTGCTGGATGCTGTGACAATTTAAAAAACCAAAAGTTACGGTGCTAGGTAAGAGTCTAGACAGTTTGTAAAGGAAAGAGTAGAAACAATCTGAACAACTTTTAAAGATGTTCAGTGATAAAAGGAAGAAGACATAATGAGCAAATAGTTACACATGTTCAGTGTGATCTGTACTTGAAGAATATATCTTTTCTCCCCTGGCAGCTGGTATCCTCCATGGTATTTTTCAGAGACTGACAATAGATGTCAGATTTATTTCAGATCTTCCATTTTCATTGTGAAACCTTTTCAGATTCTCCTGTGGAGACAACTTTCTGTCTTAGCCCTGAGTTAAATAATATGTTAGAATGTTGTAAATGTCTTCTTTTTTAACTTTAAAAGAAAAGTTCTCCCTTCCCAACAACCTGCATCCTTTGTGTAAGTTGAGATGAAGCAGGACATATGAACCACATTGCATTGCTCAGTATGATTAATCTCAAAGTTTGCTTTCAAATTGGGAATAAGTCTTCTTGCAGCATGTGGAAGAAAACCTATGAAAAAGACCCTTCAAGAACATTGGCATGGGAGAGCAAGATTAAGTTTGGTGGAGAAATCTCCTCCCTCTTCCGAATATTGTGCAGTTTTTCATCATGCCATTTTTTGGCTGTCCTCAGACTACAGTTTGTGCTCTGTTTCTCCCTCCCAGGCCTGCCAACAGTGCTGTGGTTTCTCTGGCGTTTGGACGCTACATGCTGGAGCCATTTTTTGCCCCTTGTGCTGCCCCTGTCCCTGCTGTGAAGCTTGTGTCTCTCCTGGGGTACTGTAAGTACTGACTTTCACAGGACTGCTGGTCTTGGAGCCTCTCTGCCCCAGACAGGGGTGCTTAGGCGGTGTTATCTTCTGCGATAACTGTGGGATTTGGGCCCCTTTGGCCATCCAAAACTTCCTGATTCAAGGCATCGGCTTGGGACCACTATATTCTCCATAAAGGGTAATGGGCCTCCCTGTTGACCAGCTAGATCCCTGGTCAGGGGATTGTGGCAAATTCTCACCTCGAGCATCCTCTCTGTAAATACAGTGCCTTCTCCCTGCCATCCCTAGAGCAGGGAGCGCTGCTCTATTTCTTTCCTGCATGTGTCGAGTATGGGCTACAGCTGTAGCAGTGTGGTCTCCTCTCCAGACATGGTCCTCACCCTCAACTCCTGGAGCGTCACCTGGAGCGCTCGGCTGCAGACGGCTCTCTCCATCGTCAAACTCCTGGCGCTCGCTCTCATCATCGTGCCTGGGATGATGCTGCTGGCCCAGGGTAGGTGTGCTGCTGTGTGGCTGAGGGAGGGATGCTCACCATGCCTGCCTGTCACGGCTTTTATTGGTCCCCAGGAACAAACGTGGCACTCCTGTAGCTGGCAGGAGCCTGTGTGCAAGATGTGAACCAGCTGGGAGCTGAGACCAGGGTAATTGGCATTAAGCTGCATCATTGCACTGGGGTGATGTATGCTGCTCTGCTGTTTTCTTCAAATCTGAGTCTCCCTTCAGTGCTTGAGGCTGTGTGAGCCCACCTAGGGTCATACAGACACCTTCCTCTGTGGATGGTCTTTGTTTGGTGTCAGGCTTGCATGTTTTCAGCGTGACTCGAAATCCTTCCAAAGCAGCACAAATTTGATGGACAGTAGGGAAGTGTGACCGCCTGCTGTGGTGACCTGAGTAAGTCACAGCTGTGTCATGAGTTACCAGCCCTCAGCTGAGCCTCTAACCTTTCTGTGGCTAATGTTTGTTACCTCCTGAGATGGGCAGTACTTTAGTAAACTTACAACAGGCTCAGGATTGCGCACTCACATCTAGAGTGGGGAAAGAAATCCCCTACCAGTAGTATCTTCTGGGAAAGGTTCAAGAGGATCGGCTTTAATCCGAGCCTCAGTTTATAGAAAAGCCCAAGGCATTCCTACTCAAGGGATGAAGCCTGCTCCCTCTTCATGCAATTACTTTCCTCTGCAGAGGAAACAATGCAGGCCGTGTGCTCCACATTGGTGTTTCTTTCTGATGTCTGGAGCTGGCTCCTTTGAACATGCAAAGATCCCCTCAGGCTGGCAGCACTTCTGAACTGAAGGACTGCCCTGCAGCTCGAAATCCACAGCCATTATTGGTAAAGATGCCTTCAAATGACAATCTGGAGCCCTGGCACCCGGCCTCTGGTGAGGAGGATAAGTGCCAGTGACATCTGGAGGGAGAATTCACCGAGAGACCCCAATATGACAGGTTGTATTTAATGTGACTCATGAGGGACTGTAAATCACTCATGAACGTATTGCAGACAATAAATCCTTTTTATGCACCATCACTTATCAGCAATCATTTTAGAACATAAAAAGACTAACCCAGCAGGCCCACTCCCATATTTTGGTTTAATTTTCTTCAAATCTATTTTCTTTTTGACCTGTTTTTAGTGCTTAAAAATCAGGTTTGCACTTTTAAAACAGTTTTGCCTGATTCTCCTGCTTTGTTCTACTTTTTCTCGTTTTACTCTTGTCCTTTCTTCTGCCATTACCTTTTCTTTGGCTCAGGTTTATTTTAGAGACTTGCTGGGCCAGTGTTTCAAACCCAAATCCCCAAATGTCACCACAGAGGTCCTTGCAGGGCCATCTCCATAGAAGTGGCCTGCCTTTCTCCATGTGCTCTCTGCCGTTTTGTCCTTTTTCTGGCAAAGGCGAGGTGAGCTCTGCACTTTTTACACATTTTACTTTTAAAGAGACTTTGATGTGGAGAACTGAGTATAGATGTGGAACCCAAACTTCGGGCCACCTGGATTATAAAATATTGGAAATACAGCTCCTTTTGACTGCATTTTTTAGTTGTCTTCCTTTGAATGAGAGGCTGTTAGGTGTTTCTCACTTGCGTAGGTTTTTTTTGAACCATAAAATATGGTTCATATGCAAAATCCTGACTTTGATTTTTTTGTTGTTGTTTCTTTGTTTCTGTTATTTCAAGCAAAGAACTTTAAGGAAAACTGGGGGATCTGCTTTTAACACTTTTTTTTTTGCTTTGCCCTTTGTGTCCTCAATTTCTCCCCCTGAGGGTGAGCCGTGGTGGCTGGCAGGGGCAGCAGGCAGGGAGCATGCCCGGAGTGGGGGACCAGGCTGGCGGTCCCTGCTCCCCACTCCCACCCCAGTTCCCATGCTCTGGCCAGCGTGGGGCTGGGGTCAGCTCTCCGGCCGCGGGATCAGGAGGGAGCACAGCAAGAGCCAAATTAGCTGCCTCGCTGGCTTCACCACATCAAAGAGGAGTGTGAGTCCAGCTGCTCAGGGGGCTGGTGGGGGGAAGAGGGGGAGTCAACTTAGCCAATTAATTTTGGGCCTAAAGAAAGGACAGGACAACGTGGGTCGTCTCATCTCCGTGATGTCCTACTCCTACAGCAGGCTCTGTCTGAAACAGAACCAGCAGCTGTCATTGCCCTTCCTGAAATGTCTCCCGTAGCTGGATTGGGGACAGATTTGCTCTGTCACTGTTTATGAAATAAATGGGTCTGCACAGCACTGCAGATTAAAGCGATGAAAAAAATCCAAATGCCTGGCTCCAAGGAAGTCAAAAAGACTATTCCCAGGTCTGGGCAAGAGGTGCAAGGGGTGTTATCCCATGGGAAGGAAGCCCATTTCTGAAGTTTCCTTGCTCCATATCCACCATTTCTCTCTTCTGCAGGCCACACTGAGAACTTCCAGGATGCTTTCAACAGACAGTCTCTGGTTTTGGATAAGCTGCCCCTGGCTTTTTATGCAGGCATGTTCGCATATTCAGGCTGGTAGGTGTGACAGGAAGGCGCTTCATGGGCAGCATACTGGTGTCCGAGGCCTGGCTCAAACTCTCTCCCTGTCTCTTCCCACCATGCAGGTTTCAGACCAGCTTTGTGCGTGAAGAGTTGGTCAGACCTGAACGGTAAGGCTGGGAAGAAGTCATCTTGGGTTACCAACCTCTGGGGTGGAAGGAAATGAGCCTGTGGGTTCATCTAACCAAGGCCAGCTGCAATCTGCAGTAATGCTGTGCATAACAAGAGTTAACAGCTTGTTCTTTGTGTGCCTCTCTTCCCCTTTCTTAGAAATATCCCCCTGGCTGTCATCGTGTCTGTGATCACGGTAATTGTGGGGTATATGCTCACCAACGTCTCCTATTACACGGTCCTGGGAATGCAAGATGTTCTGGCTTCTTCTGCTGTGGCTGTGGTGAGTTGTCACCCTTACCACTATCTTTCTTTAGTGTGGTCAGCTTGTACTGAAGGCGTGGTCACAGCAAGTACTTAGGAGATGATTTTCCTAATACATGTTTTATTGCTTTGTCATTTCTCTGGATTATTGGGCAGCAGTAATTTCTTCTAGTCTTGCCTAAAAGATAATGAAAAAGAACCTGCAGATGACAGTAGAAAAGGCAAGATTTATGTGCTCTATTTTGGTCTCTTCAGTGCAGGGAGTTTTCTTTTGAATCTGATGTCATCTAGGGATCACCATGTGTTTCTAAAGTCCTGCTTGCTCTTCCTCCAGAGCTTTGTGCAGCGAGCCTTCAAAAGCCTGATCTCGGTTGTCCCTGTCCTTGTTGCACTGTCCTGCTTTGGAACCATGAATGGAGGAATCTTCACATTTTCAAGGTCACGTCCCAAAGAATTTATTACTCGCTTGGCTTACTGAATCGAAGGGAAGTGCCAGCGACCTGTGCAACTGCCCATCCACACAATGGCATTTGAGCCACTGTTGTTGGAGAAATAAGGCCTTTGACTCCCACGATGTCAACTACAGGACAATTCCTGTTGGTGGAGTCTACCTTTTCTATTTCTGGCCAGGTCCAGAATTTAATATCCAGGACTGATCACAAAGATTTTTATCTTCTTCCCCCACCCTTCAGTTTAAATCCCCCTTTAAAGTGAAATGTCAATGTTTCTGGTGAACTAGAGGCTTTGTTGATGTTGGGAGCTGCTCAGTGAGATCGAGTCTTTAGTTAGGTTCACCCAGCTGCTTTGCTGCAGGGCACAGGATCCCTCTGCTGTGAGGATCTCTGGCCAAAGCAAACTCTCCCTCGAGGACTTTGCTTTGAAGTCAGTGAAATGTTTCTGGGATTCCTAAAGCAATAGTCAAAGCTCAGCAAGTCCTGCTATAGCAATAAGAAAAACTTTACTCAATGAAAAAATTGTCTTGCCAGCTTCACTGGCTACTACACTGCATGTCCCTGTGGGAGCCTTGAAACTGGAGAGCAAGGAAAGCTCATGGAGAAGCATGTTATGCTGGTCCAGGGAGCTGAGCGAACTCTCTGGAGCTGGTTCTGTTTCACAGCTTTGATTGCAAAAGGAAAAATCAGTTGATATGAAAGGCATGTTTCATAGTGCGAAAGCTAATGACTTATTTGATCCACTATCCTGAAGTCCTGTATTAAATACAGGTGTGGAGAACCTTCCTCGTTAGCTCCTTTAGATAGTGCTTTTCTTTGAGGATGAGTTGTCCCCGGACAGCACAGAGGTTCTGTGTGTCCCCATCGCCCTCCTCTCCCCCATCCTGGCACTATTAACATAATCACTGCAGAAAGGCCATATAAAAAGCAATGGGGCCTCCCTGGCTGCTGGCCAGCCACACCCCTGCAAAGCCACAGAGACAGCAATAAAATCAGTTTTACACTCATGTCCCAGCTGCTTTGGGCCCTGCTCCAGCCCAGCTGATGCTCTGGCATGGTTTGTTTGTGAATATTAAATTTATAAAATTGGATGCAGTGCCTTCTCCTTAATTGCCCTTTCGTGAGTCAAAGGAAGTATGGAGGCAAGGAGATCTCTGCTGTCATTTTCAGGCTGGTCTTGTGTTTGGTTGGCCTCTCAGCAGTATGCCAGACTACAAACTCCAACAGCTGGCGAGAGGATTGAAAATCCTCTATTACTTGAGGAAATTGCACTTAACTTTTTTAATATATATACACTTGAAAAAAATATACATACATATATAAAAATATAGGCATCGAGACTGACAATCCCCTTTCATAAATTCACCAGCCTCTCTTATAAGGAATTGAAGTTTGTGACCCCTCCACTTCCTACTGGAAAGATTGATCCCTTCTCTGATGACAAGAAACTTTTTTGTTTCTATTTCCGACCTTAGCTCACTCACGGTTGCTTTGGTCTTGCCCAAAGCTAATGGGCCACCCAAAGAGATGCTGCCAGTGGTCCTGTTGGTGGGCTCTATGCTGCATTGAACTAACTGATCCTGGAAGAGCTATGGGAATTCAGCATTGGGGGTTTTTTCCCGAAAAAAAAGGTGCAGCTAAAGGTAGAAATGTGGCCTTGAGTAACAGACCTGTGCTAGGAGAGGCACCTCACGGTCTCAGGTCAGTCCAGCAACTGATCCTTTCATTTCTAGTCTGGATGTGGGATGTTAATGTACAGGGCTCCCTGTCTTTGCCTAGGACTCTGTTTGTGGCTTCCAGGGAAGGACAGTGGCCTCCTCTCTTCTCCATGATCCACATTCGAAGGCACACACCCCTTCCTGCTGTCATGTTAATGGTAAGGAGTTCTGGCTGTGTGACATGTCCTCTTCTTGCTGTTTTGGCTTTCTTGCAAAGCCTGGAGAAGCTGAGGAGTTTTAAAAGGCATTGAGACACTGTGTCAGCCTCTGAAAAATAAAGAGGGGGGAATACTGGAAATGGCTGCAAAGTATTAAGTCCTTTTGGGCCAGCAGTGGTACCCAAACCCATTACTTCAAAGTCCCAGCCTTAGAGGCTTGAACACCTTTTTAAAAGTACTGTCCCTACCATCTACCACAGTTGCTGTTTGTGTTGTCATATGAAAACACCTCTGCTAGGCTTTGTCTATTTGAAAAACTGCAATTCCCAGGTGGGATAGAAATTCAGGGAATGAGCATTTGCAGAGATGGTCCAGCTCCATCCTAACTGTGCTGCAGTTCCTCTTGCGGCATGACTGAACTGCTAAAAAGTCAGAAGGTGTCTTTGTAGGTAGCCTTTGTACCAGCAGCGCAGGCTTCTGGATCGTGAATGTTTTTAATTGCCCTGCATAAGAACAGCATCAGACATTCGCATCTACTCTAGCAGGTTACATTGGTATAG